CCCCCTTGGCCCCCCCCGGGGGGGGGGCCGCAGTTTACGTCACCTGGTTCAGCCTCTTCCAGGGGTGGGCAAGGGGATGGGTGGGGCTGGGCCAGGACGCGAGGTCTGCGACGGGGTGCGTTGGTGGATGCCCTAGTCTCAGCTCGCTGCATCTGCTGGATCCGCTCACTGTAGAGCCGAGCCAACTCTCGCACCCGAGACGCCGACCGCTCTGAGTGTGGCATTCCTGTCTTCCCGCTGGTGCTGCCTCCACTAAGATCAGAGTCCTCCAGGATCAGCAGAGGTTCTGGGAAGCCAGGCCGGGCCAGCTGCCCCTGCTCCAGCGCTTGCCAGGCACTCCTGATCTCTGAACAAGAGCGGTATTCCAGTTCTTCTGGGAATCCCTGGACTGTGGTGCCAGCCTCCGTCTGCACAGCTGGGAATGACACGCCTTCTGTGTCTTCCTCCTGCCCCTCTCTGCTTTCTGAGGGCGGCTCACTCAGTCTTCCTGGATTGCTCCCAGTCAACAGTTCCCTCCTGGTGGCTTGAGGCTGGGCTGCCTCCTGCAGGGAGCCAGGGAGCCAGGAGCCACAGGGGAAGGAGGGGGTGCTGGCTAAGCTGGGAATGTCAGGGACACTGGACAAGGGTGAAAGGGAGGGCACCTCAAAAACACCAGGGATGTCAGAGAGACTCGGAAGGCAGGGGACCTCGGGAATTTCTGGAAGGCTGGGCATGTCACTGGGAATCTTAGGAAGGCTGGGCGTGCAGGGAATTTCAGCTGCATTGGAGCCTTCCAGCCCCTCTAAGACATGGAGCGGGGAAGGCTCCCGTTCATCCGTCTCCAGCTCTTCATCGTCCTCCTCTTCTGAAGACTCTCGGCTGGGCAGGGCTCGGAACGGGAGGGGTTCGCTTTCAACGGGCATCCTGGACTCTCTGGGGAACTGGGGAATGTCGGGGGTGGTTGGCTGTAGTGGGTACACAAAGAAAAGCCAAGATATCAGGGAGCTGGGGTGGGCTGACCCGGACCGTGGTCTCTGCCTGCCCAAGGGCTTCAAAAATGTGACGGCAGTGTCAGCTCACCCCCGAGTCCCTGAGGCCTCTCTGGTTCAGCAGTTCTAGAATTTCCTCAGTTATGGAAGTCCCCGATGGATCCAATGTGGGAGGCCCAGCATCCTCCAGGTCTTCAGGAGGGCCAGAAGCAGATACTGGAGGCTGCAACTCGGATGTTGGATGGAGTTCCCCTTCACTGCCAGCATGCTGTGGGGAAGGCAGGCATAGGAAGCCAGGCCAGGAGTGCTCTGAGCCCCAAGTTCCCAGCCCCTCCTCCTGCACACTGGGGAAGTCAAGAATGACCCCTCTACCACCTTATTCCTTTTTTGAACAGGGTCTTATGTAGCCCAGTGTGGTCTTGAACTTCTAATCCTCTTACCTTCTCACCAGACAGCCTCACTTCACCACAACCCCCCTTATAAAATGTGTTGCTGGGGACGGAACTCAGGGACTCCTGCATCATACCCAATATTCCACCGATGAGTGTTATTCCACCCCCAACTCCTCCCCAATAAAACCTCTTTTTTTGAGAGACAGGGTCTCACTCTATAGCCTGAGCTGGCCTGGATCTCAATATGTAGAGCAGGCTAGCCTTGAACTCACAGACACTTTGCCACCTTTGCCTCCCAACTGGGGTAAGAGACCTGTGGTACCACACTACACCTGACCTGCTAACCCTTTTGTATTTTTATTTATTTTCACTTGTTTGGTTTTTCGAGACAAGATTTCTCTGTGTAGTCCTGGCCATCCTGTAACTCACTCCGTAGACCAGGCTAGCATCGAACTCCCAGAGATCTGCCTGCCCCCTCTTTATCTTGAGACAGAGAACTCGTCTATGCAGCTTCAAACCTTTGATCCTTTTGTTTCCGGTTCCAGTGTAGTCTGAACTGCAGGCATCTGCCGCGACACCTGGCTTAAGGCCTCTTTTCCTCCCCCCACCCCACCCCCACCCCGCAACTTTTTCAGAGTCTCCTATTAGTCTAGGCTAGACTAGAACATGCCTGTAGTCAAGGATAACTTTGACCTCCGAGTCCTCCTGCCTCTATCTCCTGTGTGCTGGGCTTCCAGGCTTGTGCCAGCACATTTAGTTTTATGTGCTGCTAAGGCTCAAACCTAGAGTTCTGTGCACGCTGGGTAAGCACAGAACCAAGATGTACGCTACATCCGCAAGCCTTTAGTCCATGCTTATTTTGACCCTGGATTATAGAATTTCCCTTCTCCACCAGAGCTAGGATTTAGGTGCCCAGGCTCTGACGGGGGCATTTCTTACCTTGACTTGAGGCTTATCTGGGGAAGGAAAAGTAGAGAAGAGACAAGAATAAGACACAGAAGTAAATTATTCCCAGTGACCGACCAACTGCCCCCTTCTTCCCTTCCCACCCAGTCCCAGACATCCCTAGAGAAGACATGGACAGACGGACAGACACAGACCAGTCACTAACCGTTCTGGGGAAAAATGATATAAGGTTCTTTTGCTGGCTCTAGGGGAAGGAAAAAGGATGTCAGGAGGTACGGCCATTAGATCCCTGGGTCCTCTACAAGCGGTGGCTACTTACCAGACTGCCTGCGGCCACGGCGACTGCCAGAAAGTCTTGGAGATGGAGCTGGGGGAGAGATGGTCAGAGTTTGGTGTGAGCCCAGCCCTTTAGCCTTGGGAGATGTGCTGGGCATCTGAACCCACATTCTGTTTCGATTACCTGGGTTTCTTCTGCCAGGGGTAAAACTTCGAGCATCCCGAGGTCGGGGAGAGTCCAGTGGAGATGTTGGGGGTTCTGGGATATGTTTGCTTTTTGGAGCACCTGTGGCGAGAGTCAGGGGACTGTCTATTTTCTTGGAAGCATCTCCTCTCTTGTCATAAGACCACAGCCAGCCCTGGCCCCAGGACTCACAGTGTAGGCTGTTTTCCAAGAGAACTTGCTTTGCCTGAAAGACAGAGAGGTGGGGAAGTGTCGGAGGGATAGGACTAAGAGAGCAGATCCTGAGAACCAATGATTTCCTGGAACGAATGGCTGCTGCTGGTGCCAGCCTACAATGGCATGTCACTGTTCCTCCAGGTGAGGAAATGGAAGGCCGGCTATCCTGTTGCCCGAGATCTCAAAGCAACACCGTGCTGGATTCCAAAGCCAGAAAGCAGAACTCTGAGGTTTAGCCATCATGTAGTATGATGGTCCCACTCGTATCACTTGGGAGTCTGCCGTGGAGACTGGATTCTGGCTGTCAAGGTCACTTGTTGGGCAGGTCCGTACCTTGGCAGGGATGGAAGCCGGGTGGTTCTCGAAGAAGAGGCGCTGGAGACAGTGCATCCACAGCCGTTTCTCTTCTTGGTTCTTGGCCTGGGGGGTAAGGTAGGTGGAGGTGAGGGAATCTGGGTTCTGAGCTGGCGTGGGAATGGGTGTCAGCGCAGCCCACCCTCTGCATACCTGAAACAGGTGTCTGTGCTTGGGGATGGTCAGGTCTGACACCTTAAATCCTAAGGGATCCCGCGGTGTCTCGCTTACACTGAGATTGCAGCACTGAGGAGAGCAGAGAGGGTGGGATGCGGACACCAGACGCCCTTCAGAAACTACTGGGGTTCCTTCCGATCTGCTACAAAGAGGCTCCCCATGGGGTGCTTTGCCTCTTAACCCACCAAGCTGGGCTCTGGTCACTCCCTTACCAGACTCCTCCCTCCTTTCATGAAGATCTTCCTGAGCCCCATGAGTAAACTTGCCACACCCCTCTGAACTTTCCTCACATTTTTAAATGATCCCCAAGTCTACCCATCAGGTATTCTGACCAAATATTTCAGTGGGCAATGGCAATTTTTTTTTTTTTTGGTCTTTTGACGTGGGTTTTGTGTATCCTTGGCTGTCCTGAAACTAGCTCTGCAGGCCAGGCTGGCCTCAAACTCAAGAGATCCACCTGCCTTGAGTGTCGGGATCAAAGGTGTGGGCCATCACCACCAAGTCCCTACATTTTTAAAAAGTCTGAGACTGACTAGGTAGCTCAGGCTGGCCTCAAAGTACTAATTCTCCTGTCTTAATTTTCCAAGGCTGGGGTTACAGGCACGGGTCACCACACGCCTGGTTCCCCCACCCCCTTTTATTTTTGAACTGGGATCTCACATCTCATTAGTTGGCCTCAGGGAGCTTGTAGGCTAGGATGAGGACCCCGGGCTCCCAAGCCTGTTGTCTTTACTGAGTCCCCGGACAACAGGCATACACTGGCACAACTGGTTTATTCTGGGTTGGGGATAGAATATGGAGTTCTGCTCATACAAGACAAGCACGCTAACCACTGAAGCACCCTGCCAGCTCATGGCTCTTCCGTTTTTTTTTTTTTTAAATTCCCGAGGTGGGGGGTAACACTGGCTAAATATGATGGCACACACCTGTAGTCCTAGTACTTGGGAGTCTGAGGCAGGAGAATTAAAGCAAGTTTGAAGTCAGCATGGCCTTCGTAGCAAGTTCCAGGCATCTAGGCCATAAGGAGGGCTGGAGGGAGGGCTTAGTGGGGCAGAAGCACTGTGTGCCTCCTGAAGACAGGAGCTCAGCCCCCAGTTTCCACAGGTGGCAGGACAGAACTAACTTCGCGAGCTCTCCCCACCACCCCTACACACACACACACACACACACACACACACACACACACACGCACAGTAAAATAAAGTGTGGGCCATCGGCACTTCCTTCTGGAAGGCAGACCCACTGCGGCTTTTGCTTTCTTACATTCTAAAGTCCTTTCTCGTCTTTAACCCCAGCATGTGGGAGGCGGAGGGGTCTGTGCGTTAGAGGCCGCACACAGGTATATAATGAGATCACGTCTCAGAACAAACAAACTGTGTATCTGGAGATAAGGCTATGTGCGTGTGAATCCGTGTGCCCCTGGAAGCTAGAGGCTTTGGACCCCTCCATCTGGAGTTCAGTGGTTTCGAGCAGCCTCATCCAAACCCTCCGATCAGATCTGGGTCCTCTACAGGAGCTACCTCTCCAGCCCTTCCATCTGTAGTTATCTTTACATTTACTTGTGTATGGGGGAGTGTACGAACCACCACGTTGCCAGTGGAGGTCAGAGGACAGGCCTGTGGCATCTTTACGCACTGGGCTCTGTGGCCACCAGCTATGGTTACTGTTGCTTTTTTGGTTGTGTTCTGAGATAGGGTCTGACCCACTTTGTAGTCCTAGCTACCCTAGAACCCGGAGACTAGTATGTCCCTCCTGAGACAGAACCTCACTATGTAACCTACACTAGCCTTGAGCCCGCCTGTCGGTCTTACTGGCCTCAGGCTTTTGCTTCAATCCCCCCTCCCCCCCCCAGTGAGCTACCATGCTCCACTTCTAGCCTTTAATGTTTGCTATTAAGTTGCCTGGGACTGGTCCCGAACCGTCTCTGTAGCCCAGGCTAGCCTTGACCTTTTGATCCTCTTGTCTCACCCTTCCTGGTAACTGGAATCAAAGGTCAAATGACACCAGGCCCAGCTAAATATGGTCCTTGGAAGCCAGTCTGTCTGTCCCCGTTGGGTATTCAGGCGAAGATATATTAGTTGTGACTGTCTGAGCTAGACCCCACTGTATACTCACAAAGATGTGACCCTTGTAGGTGTATTCAGGCCCCCGACGCTTGGCTACCAGCAGCATCCGGGAGAACAGGAAGAGCAGGCGCTCACCCCCACGAAGCCTGGGGCCTCCCCCGCCTCCCCCACGGAAGGTGCCTTCCAGCACAAGCTCTCCAAACGCGCTGAGCTCCGGGCCGGTCCAGCCACCCAGCCGCCGCTGCACTTCCTGCTGGGACCACACCAGGCACAGAAGAGACAGGCCAGGGTTGGTGGCGCACATATACAAGCCAAAACAGAGGTGCTAGCGACAGGGGCACACTGAGGAATGTCCCCCGGCTCAGTCCCCAGTCCCAGGTGGCCCATCCCACCCCGGGGGGCCACCTGCAGGCGTGCTGCATGCTCTTGCTTGCGCTTCATGTCATTGATGTACCAGGCCACTGCGGTCATGGACACAATCGCTTCCTCTACCATCTCTCTCCCTCCAGTGTCTGGGCCCTCTGCCCAGTGCTTGCCCAGTTCCTGCCAGTCATCCAGCAAGGCAGACAGGATGGGAGAGAAAAAAGAGAAAAGGAGAGGAGATAGGAAGCAGAGCCACACAAAAGGGGAGGGGCAGACCACAGATAGTCAGGGTACCAGGGGTGGCTGTTAGACCCAACCAACCACGCCCCCTCTCCATAAGCCAGGCCTCAAGGGCATAGCTGACCTGCAGCAGGAGATGGTACTTCAGGATGCGCTGAACAGGCTTCAGCAAGAAGCTCTGCAGAGGCAGGGAGTGACGGAGCTGGGCCTGACGCTCCTGCAGCCACAGAGTGGCTGGCGGGGACAGTGACAGCTCTCGGAGCAGGGCCAGGGAGCTGGGGGCACAGCATAGATCAGTGGAGGCTGGCTCTCCAGCAGGCAGGGCTGGGAGGAGCTGGCCAGGGTTGGGGATGATCAGGTCAGGACAGTTAAGGATGTCAGTGACACTGATCAAGGTCTTGAAGGAGCTGGCCCTGGGTACCGGGTTGGGGGGTGGGGGTAATGGCTTGGCACACTGGCTCACAGGAATACCCTGGGGCCAAGCGGGGACTCTCTCTGCCTCACCTCGGGTAGTTCATACAGTACAATGTGTAGATGTCGAAATCTTCGCTCTGTGGGGACACGGGAGTCAGTACCACTTAGATTCCCGTGGCCCCAGGAATCCTTGCCCAGCAGTTCCCCAGCCTCGAGCTGTCCTCAGAGGCTGGTTCATACTCACTCTTTGCACGAAGCACTCGGCGATGCCCCCTGCACTGCTGCAGGCCTCCAAGTCCTCCAGGAGCTCACTGTGGGGGAAGAAGAGGGTAAAGGACTTGCCTGCCTCCTTGTCCCATGACAAGACTGCAGAGATCAACGGACAGGCAGGAAGGAGCCTCGGAGGGCTACATGAGAAAGCATAGCCCGCTCACTCCGTCTTTGCCCGGCTTCGTATTATTCAGCCTGATAACCCTGCCGCGGCTAGCATGTCATGACCTAGGGAGTGACACCACAGCCCTGGGAAAGGGGGTGTTAGTAATGCCCAACATCTTAGCTATCTTAGAATCTGTCGTAAGCCAGGGAGTGGTGGCACTACCCTGTAATCTCAACAACTTGGGAGGCAAGGAAGGAGGATGGAGAGTTCGAGATTAGTGTGGGCTACTTAGTAAGAGTCTAGTCTTACAACAACAACTACAACAACAACAACAACGACAACGACAGAGAAAATCTGAGGACATAGCTCTGGAGGTGGAGGGAGGAAGATCTCAATTTGAGGCCAGAATGAACCACACCAGGTCCTGCATGCCTGTAATTCCGGCACTTGGTTAGTGATGGCAGGGGAATGAGTTAATGTTGTCTTCCAGCTACCTAGCAAGTTCCAAGCCAGCCTAGATACTGGAGACCCTGTTTCTTGCAAATAATAAAACGAAGCACAAAAGCTTCTCTTTTGCTGGGCTATTGGTGGCACACGCTTTTAATCCCAGCACACAGGAGGCAGAGGCAGGCAGATCTGTGAGTTCGAGGCCAGCCTGGGGTACAGAGTGAGTTCTAGGGCAGCCAAGGCTACACAGAGTAACCAGGTCTCAACACGCCTATGCCTCCCAAAAAAGTAGCTTCTCTTGGGATTCTGAGATGCCACACTTGGGCCCTAGTGTCTCCTTCACTAAGGCAAGCAACCAGCTAGGTTTGTTCAGAGATGAGGGCTCCTAGGCCCATAGAAGTGCAGTGGTAAGTTGGGACTGGACACTCTGACCCCACATGACTGAAGGTCTAAGAGCCCAACATGGCATCCATATGGCTGTACTTCTTCTTCCCACCTTGAGTCCTCACTGTCCCCATCATGCCCAATGTCACCACACCTCACATGCCAGCCTACGCAAGGCCACTAAGAAGCACTCAGGCTAGTGTTAGGACACAGCAGCCAGTCCCCTTGTGGTCCCCACCCTGTCCCTTACCTGCTAAACTCGTAGATGTCCTCGATGTTGGCAAACAGCGTGCCCACCTGCTCCATGTTCAGCCCCAGGGCCTTGCCATCCATCAGAGGGCCCAGGTAGTCCTGTGGGGATGACGGGGGTTACAGAAGCCAAGGGCCTGGCCTGGGTCCCCACTGTCTTCAGGTGCCTGCCTGCCCACCTCACCTCCACGATGCTGCGAAGGTCCCGAACATAGGCCCGCTCTGTCTCCACGATCTCCCTGGCCACTCGCTCCAGCCTAGAGGGTTTCACCGAACCGTGGATTCCAACAGGTGACAGGTGTAGGCGTATGGGGGGCTCTGGCAGGGGCTCTGGCCTGGAGGCTGAGCAGGCTGGAGACGGGTCCCCCTCAGAGCCCACAGTGCTCAGAGACGTGGAGCTGCCAGAACCCCTTGGAGAAGCCATGGTGGGAGCTGCCGCAGCTGCTGAGGTAGGGAACAAGTGGTCAGGGCTTCCCAGACACACGGTCTTACGGCCCCTCATGGCCACCCACACTCAGCTGACAGTTCTCACAGGTCTCCACTACTCTAATTGTCCAGTCCGGTCCCATCAGGGTTCCTTCCTCTCTGTGACTTGGACCTCCATTGCTTTTATTCACCGAACCCATCAACCACGGCTATCACTGTGAACCTGTCCAACTGACCTTGTCACTCTCCTAAGCACAGGCCCTTTACGTTCAAGTCTGATTTCCTCAAATCCACAAGGCCCCATCTAACACAGCCATGGAAGATCCCGTCACCTAGTTCCCTTTCCATGACACATCTCTCAACAGCCTTCACCCCTTCACACTCAACTTTGTCCGATTACTTAAAGGTGCAGCTGTGGGCCTTTGCACATACTGCTCCCTGCATGCAGAATTCTTCTTTGTGTCCACCTCCTTTCTCCTGAATTCTCAGCTCAGCAGTCTCCTCCGTGGTGACAGGGCTGGGCTGTCTTGGCCATGCTCGGCACTAGGCGAGCCACAGAGGGATGCTCATTGTCCTGAAGGAAGGGACAAATGCCCACAGGCTCCACCTGTCCGGGCTGCTCACCTGTTGCAGGATCACTCACAGCTGCGCAGTCGCAAACTTCACCTTGGTGGCCACACCCGAGCCTAAGGCCGGGTTTGGACAGGCTCAGTCCCCTGGCTCCCTCGGGCATGGCTGAGTGGCACAACTCGGACCTACAAAGACACCCACTTCTTGGGAACTAGACTTCATTGGTATTCCCGCCGCTCCAACTCACAGATAGGGTTCTGGAAGTTGATCTAAACCCAAGGAGGGGCCCCAAGAAGATACAAAGTGACAGAAAGAAGGGGCTGAGAAGACAAGCTAAAGATGGAAAAAAGGTTGAGACAAAGAAGGAAGACAGCAAAAGTGCCTGAGTCTGCAAGTCCCATCTGTCTGGAGCCCCCCCCCTTCCCAAGGCTCAGGGATCCTGGGAACTCTCAGGCTGAAGCTGAGGGCGAGGGGCAGGGCTGGGAAAAGCCGTGGGCGGGAGAGGCCGCGGGGTCCCAGGGGAGGGCGGAGGCTGGGGGACCGGATGCCAGGGTCCTACAGACGGATCCTTACCCCGCCCAGGACGGCGCACTGGGGCGCTGGCCCCGAGTCCTCCACCCAGCTCCAGTCGGTCCCTCGGCGCCCCAACCGCGGTCCCCACCGTTGGATCCTCCCCTGTGCAGTTGCAGCCCCCAACTCCAGCCGGCGCCTCCGCCACCCCCCGCCGGCACGCCCCCTCATTGTTCCGCTTCGGCGCCGCCCCCCCTCCCCCAGCCCCGGGCCCCTCGCTCCCCTCACCTCCCGGGGAGCCACGGGCCTTGGGGTCGGGAGTCCCGCGCGTCCGGACCGTAACGCGCGGTCCCGGGGGAGGCTCACAACCCAGACTTAAGGTCGTGAACTTGGGGTCCTCGGACTCCAGAATCCGGGGAGAGTTGGGATCCGGAGTCCGAAGTCTCGGTGTTCTAAATAGAAGATGCTGCAACCCTCTATCCGAGTCTCAGACCAGGGCGCTGGGGACCCAAATTCCTCAGTCTTCTAGGGAGGGCTGTGTGTTGTCGGGGGCACCAGGATTCCAGAGTTTCCAGAACCCGAGGGGCAGGGATGAAGTCACCTCCGGGAGGGACCGCGAGGACCGGGGTAACTCCTCGGTCTCCTGGAGGTGATGGATGCTGCAGCCCTAAGTCGAGGCGCGAGGTCCGGTCCCCAAGTGGCTCCAGGAGGGGGTCTCGGACTCAGAGTTGGGACCCCGTGGGAGGGATGCACGGCCACATCCTACGGTCTTCGAAGCCGGGTGCGGGACGGGCCTCCCGCCTCGGGGCTGACTTCCCGAGCCCCCGGCTCCTCCAGGAGGGGGCGCTGGCCATCAGAGGTCCCGGCCCCCCGCGCGGGAGCCGGGACTTGCGGGTCTCTTAAGACGCGGGACAGAGGTCCTGGACGCCTGGGTCCGACACTACGGACGCCTCGGGCTCCGGGATGAGTGTCCTGGGGCTCTGGGGGCGGCGGCGACGCCGCATCTGGGGCGGGGAGAGTCGGGTCCCAGATGTGGGGCGGGGGGCGGCCGCCTGGAGCTTCTCCTCCCCCTTGCCGCCTCTGCGGCTCACATCCTGTTCCCGCCCGCCGGGGGGAGGGGCCGCCTTCCGGCACGCCCTCCGCCGAGGCTTTTAAAACCCCCGCCCCCTACTCTGAATAATCGCAGGCAGGCGGACCCGACGGCGAGGCTCCGCCCACATTCCAGGAGCCCGGAGGACTTTTTCCCTTTTACAGCCAGGGCCCAGGAGGCGGGGCGCTCCGGAGCGGTCACACGCTCTTGTTCTTATTGGTCGATCGGCGGGCTTTATATTTGCATATGCGATGTCGGGTCCAACCAGTCGACGAACTCGCGCGACTGCAACTGACTGAAGGACTTTGCGGCACGAGGGTGCGGCCGGAGCTCCAGTGGCGCAATCGGTTAGCGCGCGGTACTTATATGTCAGTGCTAGGCGTAAGCGATGCCGAGGTTGTGAGTTCGATCCTCACCTGGAGCACTTCCTTTTTTTTTTCCTTATATAATAACCCTTTTGTGTGTGTGTGTGTGTTCTCTCATCAGTCTAGAAGGCTTCATATTTTATAATTCAACCGAACGGTTTGGCCTGTCTTACCACTTAACTATGGCTGGTCTGGAAGTCACTATGTAGACCATGCTGGCCTCGAACTTACAGAGAAGCGCCTGCCTCTGCTTTCCGAGTAGTGGGATTAAAGGCGTTCGTCACTACACCCGGAAACTACAGAATTTTTGAAGAGTGAACATTTCCTTGTGAATTTTTTGCAATGGTCGATGGATCAGTCCCAAAGTTGCTGTTTCTATTGTGGTCGCCAGAGGGCAATAACGTCTCTCATTAAATGGCCAGGGCGTCAAATGGACTCTAAATCCCAGATCCTAGGGATGGGTAGATGATTACAACGCTTTTTTTTTTTTTGTATATTTTTCTTCTTCAGGTTTCTGAACCGATTTCTTTTCAATATATACTGAGCACTCACTAGGTACCGTTACTTCTGTCTCTGAGGACTTGACTTTTTACCAAGGACACTGATTGCTAAAGTCTACGAATTAAGTACATTTTTTAAATTTGACTTTCCCTATGTTACCCAGACTGGCCTAAACTCGTAGTGCCATTACTATATGGGAGTGTGAGTATATCTTTAGGTATTACTAAATATGGAGCAGGTAGGGTGCGATGCAGATTATCCCAGTTGTCAGGGATGGTATTAGTTTTTATTTTATGTGTATGGGTAGTTGGCGCTGTAAGTGTGTCTGTGCACCATGTGCGTGCTTGGCGTCCTAAGAAACTAGAGGAGCTCGGCAGATCCCCTAGAACTGAAGTTTCAGAGGATTATGAGCCTTGAGGTGCAGGGAATCAAACCAGGTGCTGTCAGAGCAGACAGTGTTCTTAACTGCTGATCCATCTCTCCAGCCTCAGGCGAAATCTTCTTTGAACAGACACCTGGAGGCGGGGAGGGAGCCATGGGAACACCAGGGAGATGTTCCAGATAACACTAAGGCTCAAGATGGGTGTGTTAGTGAAGCAGAGGAGAAGACCTGGGGGGGACCTCACTCTGTGTGTGTGGGGGGGTGCAGGCTGTTGGGCTGTGGTATGATTTTGAACTTTGTGATTTGACTCTGGTGTTCTAACAAGCTTCCCAGAGCAACTGACTTCAGGGAGGGAGGAGAGAACAGGTACTTTTAGAATTGGGTACTAGCAAGGCGGGGGCTTTTGATCAGAGGGCCCTGGAGGCTGGAATGGGTTGTAGATTTGACTGTGTCGCCAGAGCAGGGCTAAGGGGCTGGTGTCATAGCATAGCCTAGTGTCCCAAGGAGGCCAGGAGAGGGCTCTGGGTCCTCTGGAATTGGAGTTGTCAACCGTCATGTGTGTCCTTTGCAAGAGAAGCAGGTTCATTCTCTTAAACACTGAGCCATCTGTCCAGGACCTGGAGAGGTCATATACTTAGACCAGGGTTCTGCAGACGCTGAGCAGGCAGTCTGCACTTAGCTAAATCCTCAGCCCATGGGGTGTGTGTGTGTGTGTGTGTGTGTGCGCGCGAGAGAGACTTTTTAAGGGGGACCGATGCCAGGGTTTGGTAGCTGTGTATTTCTTTCTTCTAGTGTCCGTCCATTTCTTCCTCTCAATGTCCAGCGCTGCTTACCTCTACCTTCCCGATGCCTCGGGGACTTTTGAGTTTGTTTCCCTCTCCCCGACCCTGTTCTACATACCAGGGCCTGAGCTCTTTCTCACAAGGGAGGCGGTTTCCTGGGTGAGGAGACCAAAGGTCAGTAGGATGGAGTGAAAGAGAGGCAGGGTGAGAGGAAGAGCGGGGCTGAGGGTATACAGTTAGGGGAGGAAGCAAAGGGCCCAGCAGGGAGGGCTGCGGAGGGAGCCCATCTCAAAAACAAACAGAACAAAAGTCCTAGGTGCTAAGAGACAGAGGGGGAATGGGGAAGAGCTCCTGCAAGAGAGGAGCTACAGCCATCGGTGGGAGGAGTTGGGGAGAAGAAAGAAAAGAGGAGGGACGAGAGGGAGGAGGCTCAGAGGAGGGGAGGAAGCGGGGAAAAACGAAAGAGGGGCGGGGCGAGGGCCCTGACGCGAGAAGCTTCCGGCGCGGCCCGCCCAGCCTAGGCTGGTCGCCGTCGGCCTTTTTCCATGTATGGTCGGACGACGAGGCTGCCCTACCCCTGCGCCCCGCGAGTCGAACCAGACGAAGTTCCGGAAATGCCCGATCGGGGTCTGCAGACGCTAGAAGGCCCAGATTCTTTAGGTGTCTGGAGACTCCCAAGTTGCCTGGTGCCAGGGCCCGAGATTCAAAACGGAGCCAGAATCTCACACTTCTTTAAAGCCCCTGCCCCAAACCGAGAGGGCTCCTAGCCATAATCCCACACATGCATAAAGTTGAGGCAGGAGGACTGCCAGGAGTTGCTCGGGGTTCAGAGGGAAACCCAGTCTTCCCTTCTTTCCCCCCCCCCGCCCTCCCCTACAAACAAACAAACAAACAAAAGTCCATAAAGAACTGGGTGAGAGGGCTCAGCAAGTAAAGGCGCTTGCAACTAAGCCATAAAACCTAGTTCGATCCCAGGACCCACTTTGAGGAAGAAGAGACCCTATTCCAGAGTAACACATTCTACGTTAAAAAAGATAAAGTTGGGCATGGTGACCTGTGATTGTTATCCCAGTATTTCAGAAGCTGAAGCAGGAGGTTGCTGAGAGTTCAGATCAGTTTGAGCTAGGGTCGACTTTATTTTAAAAAAGAGAAAAAGTTAAACTAAAATAAGTCCTCTGTCAAGTCCGCCTAGGCTGTCTACGCGGGGTTCAGAGTCCCCTAGGGCCCAGCTTTGGGGTGACCCCTGACCCTGGCGGCCCGGGCTCGCCTTCCGGCACATTCCGTCCTCGCCGCCCCGCCCCACTCCGCCCTCCTTCCTTGGCCCTGTGGGGACGGAAACATCCTGTCCCTGCCCGAGCTGGGTCAAGAGCCGGAGGGGCAGGCCCAGAGCACCCCTTACGCCAGGAGAACTAGCTCTCCTTGTTCCTACTGGGTGACCTCATCTTGCCACGCCCCCTCAGGTGAACGACCGGGCTGGTAACGTCACTTCCTGCCAGGTAAGCGCCCCCAGGCCGCACCGCTCACGGGAAGGTCTGGAGATCAGTTTACCTACCCTCATCACAAGGCTGTGGGCCTCGAAAAAAACAAACAAACAAACAAATTCCATCTCAGTTCACACTCAAGATTTTATTTAAAAATTCCAAAAAAACCCACAAAAATAGACTTGTACGGTAACAATATATTACTTAATATATTATCGTATATACTTAATACAGTATCAGTTTTAACATTACAAAAAGAAAAACGGAGTAGACGACCCAATATATATAAATACTATAAAATCTTATTACAATAAATAAAAGTCGTCATAAATAAAGGACCCACTGGTTGAGGGAGAAGGGATTTGGCAACGGCTTTGGCTATTTGCTTTGGGGAGGGAAATTTGAGCACCAGGATTCTCAGGAGATGCTTCAGCCACCGGACACTGAACTTCGGGGTATAATAAAAATTAGGATAGTATTGTGGGAGCCGGCTCTTCACAGCACTTAAGATTCCAGGAGACCAGAGTTGCGGAGGGGCTGGTGCATACCTGTAGCCCCAGAACTTGGAAAAGGTTAAGGCAGGATTATATTGAGTTCAAAGACAGCCTGGGGTACCGTAATAAGCCCATAACTCAAAAAAAAGACTTGGGGCCTGGAAGACCAAGTGTCAACTGTCCCCCTCAAACACGCTACGTCTTAGGTACCCTAGGAACGGATCCACCCAAACACTGAATTTGCAAACTAGGGACCTGCCCCAGCCCAGCACCAGGGGAATGGGTTAATGCATCTTGGAATGTCCAGAAGGAGGGACTTAACTTAGAGGAGTCCCCCAGGTCCCCACAGCAACAAGCAGTCCCCTCCCTCTTTGAGATCTAGCTGATCCCTACTGGGTAGGCACTTGTCACTCAGAGACAGAAATGCGATTGAAGATGGGGAGACGCCTTGGGGGTGCAGGGGGCTGGGGAGGCGCAAACACCCCGGCCTCAAAGACAGGTGAGTCTGACCCACCCAGGCTGCTGCCGCTGCTGGCATAGTCATCTGGATCGGATCCCAGAGAGTGTGCAGATGGGCTCCGAGCCAGGCCACCCAAGGGCCCCCAGATAGTGCTAGGGGTAGTAGACCTTCGGCAGGAGGGGCAACAAGCTGGGATAGGTTCTCTTCGAGTCACAGGGGTCCCAG